CACTGGCACTGGAAAGCAGAGGACCTATTTTGCACGGATCCAGGGTAGGAAAAAAGGGCCGCTGCCTCTCTGAAGATCAACTATGCAGGATCAGGCCAAAGATCCATCTAGTCTGGCATTTGTGGACCTGTGGTGGCCAACAGAAGCTCCCAATCGTGGCAGGGGGGGATTGCCCTTCCCAGCAGTGGTATTTAAGGAAGGCTACCTTTGATTCTGGAGTCTGCACAGCCATGGAGGTGTTAAGCTACTGACAGTCTGCAGAAAAAAACATGAAGTGGCCTTCAAATTGAGCTGACAGCTGATCTCTTGTGGACATAGGACTTGGCTGCTACTGTCTTTCAGGGTTCTTTTTTTTGCTCCCATCCAAGTATTAACTGACACCAACTCTGTTTAGCTTTTGAGATCACAAGTGTGTCATACCTCCTTTTACTTGCCTTCTCTCCAAGCTTAAAAGCTGGACGTAGTCCTTTGGTATGATAGGGTTGCGGTAAGGCCTTGGCCATTTTTTATTTCCTCTCCATCATCTATCTTGCCTCTGACTTTTTAAGGTAGCATAAGGATGGTCTGGCTCAAATTATCCTATTTTGGACCCCTTAGGCAAAGACCTAGCTCTCTGGATACAATTCCTAGAGAAGTTCCTAATGCTGGGAAAGATGGAAGGAAGGAGAAGAGAAGGACCAGCAGTAAGGCAGATGGACTCAGTTATAGCAGTGATGGGTGCAATATTGGAAGACTTGAAGGAGCAGGCTGAGGACAGATCCTCCTGGAGAAGGTCTAGCTATGTGGTTGCTAAGAGCTGACTCTGACTCAATGGCACATCATCCATGCATCCATGCATCCATGCACCGTCCATCCATCCATCCATCCATCCATCCATCCATCCATCCATCCATCCATCCAGGAAAGTCCCAGAGAAGCCTATAATGCTGGGAAATGAGGAAGGAAAGAGAAGAAGATGACCAGCAGCAAGGTGGAGGGACTCAGTTACATTAGTGCACTGTTGGAACACCTGAAGAACCAGGTTAGGGACGGATCACCATGGAGAAAATCTATGTGGTTGCTAAGAATCAACAATGACTTGATGGCACGTAATAATCATAATCAAGAACAGTCTGGGATACAATCCCCCCTCATTCTCACTTCCTGGAGACGGAGCCAACGCCTGCTTGAAACCTTTAACTCTGGCAAATGAGCCATCAAATGTCTTAGCTTGGATGGAATAATTACGCCGCCCAAATAAATTAATACCAAAACAGTTCCTTTTCAGGGTTTTCTCTTCCTGCTGTCTGCTAGGTCTCCAGCTAAGACCTGAAGCTATTTCTCTGCCAAGACTCAGCAAAAAGGCATTAAATCCAGGCTGGAGAGAAAATTTTAACCACCAGTAAGAAAATACCGTTTCCCTCTCTTCCACGGCTGTATGTTCAGGATCAACACCCGAGAACTGGAATGATCATATTGATAAATGCGCTGACGTTCACTTGGTCTCAATCACCTTACCGAGACAAAGATTAGCCTGAACTCACACAGCCGCCCCAAATTCCAACCTTCTCAACCGTTTCCTTGACCAAGTTGGGGAAATCCATTTGGGATCCAAATTATTGGACAGAACGCTGATTTCCTTGCAGTGCCAAAAATGCCATGGCAGGCCAGAAGCATCAAATCAATTTGGATCCCATCCTTCTCCAGGAACTCAACGTAGATGCATCATACAGCCATCCCCAATTCTTCTGCGCAACCACCTGAACCCACTAAGGTCCCACGACGGAGGGTGGACTTGAACCTCTTCATCTCTTAATCCCCGTCCATCACTACCATACCATACTTCTGAACTCCTCTTGTTGTTATTTTAAATTTATTAGCTGCCCAACTCCAGTGTTTCCCTCCAAATGCCCCACTTGCCTGACTTCTAAGCGGATAGCTGATCGTTGTGAGCAAGGCGTTTAGCCAAGAGATGTTGCATTTCATTCATCCTCGGCTCCTGCTCTCTTGATGAGGTGTGGAAATGAAACTATGATTTTGCAAACCCAGCCAAAGACATCTAAAGTTCTAGAACTTAAGAGGCATCTTTGTTCATGGCCTACATTAGTGCAACTTCCGAACAACATCCCTTCCAAATTTTCCATTTTCTGTTTAAAGAAAGTAGGGCACAACTCCGCCCCATCTTGAGAGTAGTGGGCTGAGAAAAACAGAATGACAGCGAACAGAAACAGATGCAAAATTCCCTCCTTAGCAGGGCGAAAAAAAATAAACTATGCCCGGGATTAGAAACCATCCTGGTTCTGGAAAATGCCTTTAGGAATCTACCAGTGTTCCACATGATCAGCTTTCAGCAGAGATTCTCAGCACTTTCCAGCAGAATACCAAAACCATTGAGGTTCTAGTCCTCAAGGCAGCAAACCTCACACTCCCTCGCACTGATGATGTTACCTAGTTGGGTTATGAAACGTCTGCAAGCAAACCACTGAACTCAGAGGGCACCAGGAACTCCATTGAGGGAAGAAGGGTCTATCCTGATCTTTGGAAACAACGCTCCGGGCGTGTGTTGTCACAAGAAACTTTGAGAGAATGCAAATGAAAAATTTTGGGAAGATGAAAAAAGCAGGCGCCTTCTTGCTTCAGGGCCTTCCAGGGCTGTAATTGTCCGGAGACCCCACCACCGGTTGTGTGCTGATGGGAGCGTTCACTTGAACGAATCTGTGCAATGCACTTCTAGAAGTTTGGAGTTCTTTGGGGTTCAGCCTTTATCTTTGTCTGCTGCGTGATCAGACCATTAAATCAAAGCATTTGGTCACAGTTGGTATACAAACTCAGGAACTAGGCCTTGTTAATCTGGGTTTAGTTTTGTTGGGGGAATCCAGCCCAACTCTGTAGATTGCTGGGGATCCAGAGTTCCTCCCAGCACTGTCCCCGTTGGCTTTGACGGGTTTTTGAATTCCCACAAACTCCTTCCTGACCTGACAAATGCCAGAGGCGCAGACAAGGATTGATCTGAACCGGAGAGAGAGTCAGCTCGCTACAGACATTCTTTCTTTTCTCGAACATCAATTTATTTAAAAAAAACAACAACAAAGACTAAGAAAGACCATCTGGGATCATTTTAAAGAACACACCTAAAGTGAAAGGGGAGGAAAATTGGTGGAAAGATTTGGAAAAGTTTCTGAACTGGGCAATTCTAAGCAAGAGATAAAGAGGGAGAAACAACTCCCCATCAAGTATTATAGAATTTAAGAAGAAAAAGTTGCAGCTATTTACACGTTGGAAGGCGGGGGGCAAGTCTACAAAGAGGCGTAATACTGAGATATAAACATATACTATATTACAATGAGAGATTATCCACAAAGTATCGGTACCCTCTGAACACATCTCACCCTCTGAATTTGGGGGGCTCCCCCCCTCACCTCCCTTCTTTCAAAGGCAACCTGAGTCACAGTTTCATTTTTTTTTTCCTGTTAGGCTGGGCACAAAACCCAAGGGCAGTCTGGCAAACCGAGCACGCGAGCAAAGCCTGGGAGGACGTTTCCAAGCATCACACTTGACGAGGCCTGGAAGGAAAAATGTGGGGAAATAATAATTAAAAAGCTTTGGAGCTGGAGATGGTTGCGAAGGTTCCCCAGAGGCAGGGAAATGTCCCAAGTTTGTTTCTTCATCCCCCAAGTGGCCAACTGCACCATGATGGTCTTGATTAGTGAGTGAGTTGCCAAACAGCTGGCATGGCAGAGGAGCTGGGGCAGAGACCAGTTTGAGAAACAGGCAGATGGACTGCAACCAAGGACACGTGTGGAGAAGAGGATACACAAAGCTTTCCCCATGGGGGAGGAAATGGTGGTGTAATGCTCTGTGGGAATGACCTTGGGAGACAGGGGTAAGAGCCACAGCCAGGAGAAGGGTCGGATAAAAGGCAGCTGAGCCCAGAGCAGGAATGGGCGTTTGGCAAGCCTCTCCGAAGGGACCCTCCCTAGTTTCTTGGACTGTAAAGGCAAGAGATGCA